ATTTTTCGACGATATTCACCTCGCCTTCGGCGAGTAATTGTTAGATATAACGTTCACAGGATACCAACATTGTATAAGATGAAAATAGCTTACATGCTCCTGTAACAGCCTATCAATGCATGAACCGCTGTTTACATTATTCACCAACACCTGGACAGCTCTAGAAACCACTTCCGCTGGGGCCATGCCTACCATTCCCAAAAACATCAAATTATATTTCATGCAAAGAGTAGGGGGTACAGTATACGACTAATAACACTCTTGCATCAGCACGTTACAATTTGCTTGCATCTATCCATATCTTTATGAATGCCAAATTTCTCATTTTCTGTGAAAAAAAGCCTTATTTCTATTTTTCAGGGTTGTAGCTGAGAAATTGCGCTGCCGGCTAAAATTTCAAGTGAGGTGGCTCAAAGATGGTGAACAACTGTAAGTGTGTAACCTCAGAAGTGCCCGTTGAGCTTTACCAAGCGATCATCGGCCAAAAATCCCGCCGGCGATCGCCGCTTTTTCATACAGCGAGTTTCGCCGGCAGCCGGTGTTTAGCGACAACCTTGAATGAATTGTCGTTGAAAACCCTCTGTTATTATACATTATATCTTATCAACCGAGCGCGAGGGCCGTACTGTGAGAATATTGGCCTGAGTTCTTGACAGCACGGACCGAGCGCAGCGAGGTCCGTACAAAAAAGACCGAGGGCCGATATTCTTCCAGTGCGGTCCCGAGTGAGCTTGTTTAATAAGAGATTTATTATACGACTGAAGTTCAAAGGGACACAAGTGCGGTATCATTCGGGACCATTCGGCACAGTGCCCGGTCCAATACTGAGAGAATATTGACCGGCAAAAGAGCATTTTGATTGGTTGATTTTAGTTATTGGCCCTGACTGCCCGAGTCGTATAATGAAGCTTCTTATCACACTTTTAATACCAAAGAAGTACATGTTACAAACCTTTTTCCCATATAGCAGTCCCTGACAGCAAAACGCCAGAAGACATTTTTGCAATAAGCCTGAGATAAAAAAAAAAGAATGATAATGTCTTCGTTTAGCAAGTAACAAACAGGGAACAATTTTTTTTTTACATAGTGACACTGACACCTGTTAATTTTTTATCTTACGCAAAAAGTGAACGCTGAAAACTTAAAAAAAAAACTTTTCTCCGTCATTAGAGAGTACGACAATTACAGTGGTTTAGCACTGGGCAAATTTTCAGCTCTGCAAGAACTTCCAACGCTGTGAGATTTGCCTTTTATTTCATTGAAAAACAAGTTTTTGTGACAACAAATCTGATGTAGAAAAACATGTGGGTCCATTCATTTCCTAATTCAAGCAATCTTAAAATAGTCTTAACTTACATCAGCCCCTGCCCGGTCCCTTGACTTCTGCAGTCTCTTTCTCGTCGGCTATCAATGTCTAGTGGGACTTGTGGGAAGTGAGTCTTCAGCATCTGATGTGCCTGTTTTACCATAATCTGAGCAATCTGAAACAATTTTGATAGTTGAAAATTAACAATTGATACACAAACAGGGAAGTATGGAGACACACTGACCTTATGAGTTTATCAAGCTCTCAAAAGCGTTGTGAAAAAAGATTGTCATAGTTTGACTGACTCTTTTTTCAATATAACTACAAAAATAGACATCTTTCTTCAAATCTGTACTTTTTCTTATGTCCTAGTTCCACCTTATCTCGCTTAACTATACTATAACGTAAGGTAAAGTCTGTTTACAAGCCTATTTCCCATTAGGCCGGTGCTTAACTCCGGTTTCTGTAGCATGAAGCGACTAGGAGTATTTCTACTCCCCCCTGGATGGGATGCCAGTCGATCGCAGGGTTACCCCCAGCATTAAATTGCCGGTACCCATTTATACACCTGGGTGAAGTGAGGCACTGTGAGAGTAAAGTGTCTTGCCTAAGAACACAACACAATGTCCCGGCCGGGGCTCGATCCGGAGTCGAGCGCACCAACCATGAGGCCACCGTGCCTCCACATACTATAACGTAAAGCTTATAAAATTGCTTTGCACTGACTAGGGTACTTTAGGACAATAGTAAACACCAATTTAGAAAAGAGAATTATGTTCCATATGGGCGTGACGCGCGCGATAATGTTACATCGCCATCTTAGATGTCCATGCAGTCATAAGATTGGCTCAGTTTTACCACGAGGTACATAATACTTCTCTCTGATTGGCTGTGTACCATAGTGCCCCTTTATACTACTGACCAGAAGTGAATTACATTTAGAAGTACCGGTAAGTGTAAGATCCGGAGTTAGTTGAATTATGAACTGTGCAATACATGTGCCAAGTTGAACTTACCCTGACAGGCTTTGCTCCAGCGACAAATGCCCAACCTGTTATTTTGCTTATAGTTCCACTTTCTTTCATTACAACAGGAGTCAGACAATGAACTGGGAGACTTTCTACACATATTTTACCCTCCCAGTAGGGATGATAACTCCTATGAGGAAAAACACCAGAATTTAATATCAATATACATGATTGTGCACTTTAAGGCCATGACATATACTAGGACTGCTACTACTTAACATACACCTTATTGGCCATAAAGGATGTAATAAATTCTTTATCACTGACTGTAGAATTATTTTGCAATTGCCAAGATAGTTACATTAATCTGCAGCAGGTAGTCTGAGTTTGAGAAAATGATGACTGCACGTCTAGATCGATTTAAATGCATATATTTTGCAAGGCTTTGAAAAAACTACACTTGCATGTCTCTGGTCAGTGTAAATGTATTTGAAACTGATCTCCTTTGAAAAAAAAATCAGGCATTTGTAGTAACCTAGAGGTATGTACTTGAGTTATCATGTTATGTTCTGTAAAACCCTTTCATGTGCATTTGTATGTACACTGTGGACAAAATAAGAAAAAAAAAAATCCACCATAAAGTCAAAACAAATTAAGAATGCACCACACATAATGCAAGATGTGGGCTCTAAAGTTAAGGAAGAAACAGCTACGAAGCCAAATGCAGAAGCTGCCAAAATCATTTTCCAGATCTCATACATGTTTTTCAGTTGCAGTGTAGAATGAATCTTATGGAGTAGAACTTTCTACAAAATAAGGGCATCTAAGAACCTTTTACGAATGTCAAAGTTAAAGTCAAATCCAAACTTGCCAATCAACGGCTTCATAATCTGAAAAGATAAAATCAGTAATAAATTTAAGTGAAATAATATAAGATCACAAGAATAAAAGAAATGATCGCCAACTGATGAAGTTCTTGTTTTTTAAACAAATTCTCCTTGTCAGCACCTTAGGAAATGTATAAAGAACAGTATGGAGAATATGCATACTGATGTTAGGGTGTAGAGGGTTATAGAAGTAGTAGATTGCACATAGATAGGAAAGACATTGGCATGCATCTACTCACATTTTGGATATAGTCGGCATTAATAATGGCCTTGTAGGAGTGTGTTGAACCTTTAATGTGAAGTCTGTTAAATTTTGAGTATTCAGGAACTGGTAAAAATGGGCAGCACGGAAGGGCTGATGTGACCAACAGGTTTAAGTGACTGAAAAAAAAGGGAATTAAAAAGTTATTATAATTCACATATGATTTTATTTTTGAAATATGCCTTAGTTTTGAAATCAAACTGAAACTTTGAGAATCAAGCACCTGCCTACAAAAAAAAACATAAAAGCATAAAAAACATAAAAAATTGACCCTCTCTTCAAATGCAAACCTTAAAGAAATTAAAGAAGATATATTCCAATTTGGAATGATTTGCCTTCTTAATGAGAGTTCACACTGAAATTGGTAAGAAGGTGACTGAAATATTTATGCATTGATCACAAGTATGACAAAGATATTTCACAAAAGATTGTTCATTTAAAATTGGAGAAGTCCATTACAAGCAGTTGAATGCATCTAATGTTTACTGACATACCCAAAAACGGTGCATATTATTTTAATGTCAATAAAAATCATTTTCTGGTGAATTTAAAAAAAGATCCAAATTGCAGTGTTAGAGTAGTGGGGTTAAAAAATGAATGTGGTTCATCTTGCTGCCAAAAATAAGAATGAAAGACAAAACACAAATGAGCACATTTTTCTTACAGTAGGGGGAAAACTCTGACTATTTTTTTATCTCATACACTGTTAACATACCCCAGTCGTCCAGCCTCTGCTGAGAAATTTCCTCCAAGCAGCTCAGCAGGGACATTAGTTACCATAGACAGTCCTGTATTAGCTGCAAGTGTCCCACTGCAGATTTGCCGCAACAGCTGTAACACTCTCATGTCATGAGACTGGAGTCCACCATCCGATACTGACACATTCATCAGTCTCACTGGTGTGCAGGTTATTGTGCTCAAAGTTGCAATTGTGCTGAGAAACACTTGACTCTGTTATGAAAAAAAATATCTCATCAACCTTTATCTTCTAGTGATGAAAATGCAAAATCATATAGTGAACAATTTTTTTCTAAACTCCATTATGTAACACATCCTAAAAATCCCAATAGATTATCCAATTAATAGATGAGGGTAAATGTATATTATACATGTATAGTTATGGAAAGAATTAAACAACTTGTTGCATCTTTTAAGAAAGAGGATAGCAGAAAAATACAAAGAAAATAGTACATAATTGTTATTGTCTTCAGCACCCCTTCTCCAACAAAAAGGTATTGTAATCACTATAATCATAGAAGCTGTGTCATAACAGAAATACTCATTAATCACATCTGATTGCAAGAATGCATGTAGGAGCTAACACACATCATCTTAAAAAAATAGAAGCTTTTATGTCAGTTGTCATTGAATTGCATCATGCTCTGTGTTCATACAACCTAAGAAATAGGTAACTGTAGGCTGATTATAATGTCACACAGACAGCACCTGTTTAATTCCTTGCATGTCTATTTCCAACATTTCATCAGTCAACCGTAGAACCTTCTCTCCACTTTCCTTCTTCTTTGTACCTCTCATAGTGAAGTATGTTCCAATTTCCTTGTCATAATCTCTCCTTGACGTTAAGTTACGTAAAACATTGTATGCATTTGTGATTTCTGAAATGGTAACGAAACTGCCAGTAGTAAATTTATGCTCACATGTAATGAAGGATAAAAGAGTGCAATAATTTCACAAACTCAGAACCCTAAGATACAATGTAAGAAGAAGGCTGTTTCTGATTACAAATTACGTACACAGCCTTTTGCCCAAATAATTATCACCATTAATAGGATGATTGGACTTTTTGCATGTACACATGTAACGGTTCCTTAGTTCAACTATTTTAAACACAAATAAAGTTAGCGAGGACGGCTGATAGAAAAGGAACAAATGCCTGCATTATTTTGTCAACAGGTAGAAAATTAACTTTCAGATTTAAGCTTCCTGATCAGCCCTTAAGTAAATAACCCCTAATCTAAATGAAGGTTTTATACTTGGATACAACTTTTAGATTACAAACTGCACATGGTTTCTGCTAGAATAAGCCTACTTTGATGAAATTAATTCAGATCTTACGCGCAAAGCGTACAGTCTAAGGCGACAAACAAGAAGAAAGAGGAGATAACATCACCCATTAGTGAAGAGAATAAATGGAAAGCATGGACTACAAACCTTGGAACTTGTGCTCTGCTTTCTCTCTCTTGTTCACGTCTGGATGATATTTTAAGGACAAATCGTAATAAGCAGCTTTGATCTCATCTTGTGTTGCAGTATGGGGCACATCTATCACGTCATACAAGGATTTTCTCTTGTTGTAGGACCGATTGTGAATGTATTTCGATCTCGCCAACGTAATGATTCTGCACCGTCGAAGGAGCGAGAGCAGACAAGGTTGCACATGTCGACTGAACGCAATCCTCATGCTAAGTACAGCTTCTAAGCCCGTTTTAACATTAATAAGTGCAAAAAATTTGAAAAACTACAGTTTAAGACATCAAAGTCCAAAGTAGCTCTGATGATCAAGTAAAGAAATTCTGCGGTCTCTGATCCGCCATTTTGAAAAATAAGCTAGTTCCCAGATCTTCGCCGAGAGTGAGGCTTGAGATGTCACCCGTATGGGATTTGAACCCATCACCTTTGCGTTACCGGTGCAGTGCTCTGCCAACTGAGCTAAGAAGCCAACTGGGAGCTGGTCATTATGTTGGTTTGTATTAAGCCCGTCGAAGTGATGAATCAATTAATTTTAAAACTACATATATGTACTGTAAAACTGAGCTGAGTGTTCCTGAGCATCCTGAATGCGGATTTTCAACATTTCCCGCCAAATTTCAGGAATTTTGGCAGCTGCGTTGACAAAGTGACGTACGTTGCGTCGTCGAGTTGGTTCTCTTGGCATCTGAGTTAAGTATGGAGGGAACTTCAAAATTTAAAGAAAGCTAAACTTGCACTGCTTAACAAGATTATTCCAAACATGTCTAACGGGGCCGGGTAAGCCTTGAGGTCAACTAACGCAATGCGTAGCTGCTACTTGTTTTAATTCTCGAGAAGTGCTGACGTAATATTTGAACTGCTAATCTGTATCATCCTTTTACAGTCAGAGAATTCATTCAATAAGTTTTTATCGTACTAAGACTAAATGGCCTTTTATTTTTATTTCATCAATGTAGGTAAAGCGAAACCTATTACCAACCAGGGAACCTGAGGTTTGCTTTTCCTAAAATTCAGTTGATGATTTTTCATGTTTTTCAAAAGGAGCCGTTGAAGGATTATATTTCCGGGTTCTTTTTGTGTGCGGGAAAAGTGCGCTGTTATTTTTTCTTTACGTGAAAAAGCAGAATTGAACGTTAAATTTAACTCGCGTAGTGACGCTGGAACCGATTGGTCACGGTGTGAAAATAAACAAGGCAGGGGTCTTTTGAAGGGTCTTAGTCTGAAGTTACGAGTTAACGTTATAAGCTCGTGATCGTTTATCCGAACGCCATGTTTGATTTGGAGTTAGAGTCGACTGTAGGAAGGGAGGGGAGGAATGGGGAAACTGTATACTTTCAAGGAGGATCTCGTAAGTACTCTGCTGTCGCAAGCACTCCCAAGGCGATAAATGACCAGTCTTTAACCGAGTTCGAGGTCCAAGTTGTTAGTTACAGACCGTGTTTTATCCCATTGCAATTCACTTTTGAGTCTGATTAGTTTTTAAAACCGACATTTATTCAGTAAAACGGGTCCAAAAACAACTAAATTCGACTGAAATCGTTGTTCTGTCGCGAAACCGCATTGAAACACACAGTTCGAAGAAACATCTGTACAATTGAGCAGGTGATTTCACGACTGTCTCATTGTTTAGGCCTCCTTAGAATAGCGTAAAAATACTTGCCTAACGTGGATGCCTTTGAAAATACTGATGACTAAAATGGTTTTTGACAAAGTTTAAAATAAATCAAAGCCACCGTGTTACAAGTCGATGAGCAATGGATCCTACTTAACACTTAATTTGTTTGCCAACCTTACCAAAGACAAACATTTCACTGAACGCAAAGACTGGCCCTCCCCTTGTTACAAAAAGCAAATAAGATATAATGTCTCTTTGCTCCCAATACATGACATCGTGGCTTTGAAAATGGTAACATCCTACTGATACACTAACATTTACATCTCCTTCGCTTTTGATAGCATGCGTTTTCAGCTGGTGAGATCTTAGTTGAGGGTCAACACAATGAAAGCACTACACAATTCACCTTTCAAACAGATTCAGTGTAATCTGCACTCATCCACTGTATAGGCAATGCACATAAGTACGCTCCTTTCTGACGTGTAAGCTTCAGTATGGTTGGAATCATTTATTTTGATTCCTTGCGACTGTGAAACACTGAACTCATAAAAAAAAAACTAGAAATTAACAATCATAAAGCTCTATTTCTTCATAAATTTCTTCAGATGGTCCCTTTTTATTTGCTTCTTCGGGAACAACGTTGTAATACCCAGCGTTCACGTGGCCCCCTGGTAAGGACTGATATTCAGAGGGTACTCGTGTTTGCCCATCCGAAGGTCTGGGTTGTAGTTCCATATATGAAGCTGGCTCTGACATATGCTGTTCCAGTGGCAAGGCAGACTGGATAGCATCTACAATAATGGCTTTCTCAGCAGTCGCTGTTCTGTTGATCGCCCGAGCTCTCCTAAGCCACCGTATCAATAGACCAATCAAAACTAGCAACACGAAAACGATGCATGACCATGCAATGTGACCAGCCTGAAAGATGCTCTGAACATCTGGCCAAAAGGTAGAGAAAAACATACAGATAAGTAGAGGGAAACCGCATAGAGACAAATCCCTCGAAATAGCCCCCTCGACAGCCCCTTCTTTTGAGTTAGTCTAAACGAATTCCAAGTTAGGTAAAATAGGTCAATTCTTAAGCGGCTAGGGGCATGACGTTCCTCTGATAGAAGTTGGGTTTAGCTGATTCCAGTGCCACTCTATTCTAAATTATACCCGATTCATACCAAAGCTTAGACATGTTTTAAAGCTGTTTTGTTAAACACAGTTGGATACGTTTTTTTTCTTCATTGAGGCTGCCTAAACGGATGTTTATCGACTTCAAATTAAGCACATCGAAAATAAACGTTGGTCACAACTTGAAACCTATCGAAGATTAATTTTTTTATATTCTTTTTTATTTTATTTTATTTATTTAATTTTTTTTTATTTTCGTTAAGTCAAACCCAGTTCAACGAAAGATGTCCCATGTGAATGGGGGTATCAGTTTTGATTTGACAACCCAAAATTTTGTTTGCTTGTTCGTTTTTTCGAAATTGTATTTTGTCGTGCGTCCTTGTTCTTTTCGCATTTATTGTAATCTGCTTCTTGACTGTTTCGTTTTGTTTTGATTTTTCAAACGTATTTTATGAAGCACAAGTATCCGTAAATACTATGTGCCGACAAAAAAAAGAAGATCAGAGGATGAAATTGACGTTCAGAGAGTTAAACGTTGACAACACTTACTATGTTCGTCCTCCAGGCTTTCCGATAAAGTTATTTTGTAAGTCGTAGATCCAAATAAGTTTGTGGCGTGACACACATAATCTCCAAAATCTTGATCATCAAGGGGAGTAACAATAAGAGTGTTGTTTACGACTTTAATGTTACGGCCGTTGAGAGCATGGTCATTTCTTGTCCAAGAGTAGTTAAATGGAATGGCACTAGTTGCATGGCATAGCAAAGTACAGGGAGTGTCTTTTGCGCAAATAACTGATGGTGGGGAAACGTCTTTCCTGATGCTGGGCGGCACTGAGTTTAAAAAGAGGAAAAAAGATAAGATTCAACATCTTTAATACATCCAATGAATTTCAAAGGTTCAAAAGACGATGTTCGTATCTCTAACACTGGCGGTATGCACCGATGTATGATTTAATGCATGACTGCAATATATAACCTATACCATTTTCTGAAAGTTGATTTGCACAGTTTTTTTTATCCAAAATTCGAAGGGTGACCGAGTTCTTGGGTTCAAATTTTTCACTCGTGAAATCTGGCATCACTAGATTTTAGCTACTGCTCGCATAAAGGAACAATTTCACTTTGTGGCCGGCCATACACAGTGGATGATACTTACCAGCGATGATCACTGCTGTAGCTGTACGGCGTTGCCCAAAAATGTTTGACGCTCTGCATTCATAAATGCCTCCGTCACGAGGTGCGACCTCTTGAATAACAAGAATGTGGCCATCGTTCCTGAATTGAGCCCGAGGTATATTGGTATTTCCATCTTTACTCCATGTAACAGAGGGTTTAGGATCTCCAATAGCCTCACATGTTAATACTACCACATCGCCGACTTGAAAAATGGTTCTTTCAGCTAGGCCTTTGACGTTGGGCTTACCTGGTAGAAGTTTACCAAGTTAGCAGTACCATAGAAAGCCATAAGAGAGGAAATTTTTCTGATAGAAAAAGGAAAACTCGGGATCTACCTTTTGTAGAGCTTGCCTAATAAGAGGCGGTGTCAATGAGTTAGCATGAGTGAAACTTTCAGCGAAGCAGGACCATAGTTAGACGAACAAACAAGGTGTTTTTAGGGAAAAAAGGAGCTAGTATTCTAATTGATTGGAAATCTATAGTTTTAGTTACAAAAAAATTTCGTGAATAATACCTTTGGTTTCAATCGTTACAAAGTTACTCGAAAGGTACACCGTCTGCAAAAAGGAGGTATTCATCCGTAAAATTCTAAGATACATACATAATTTTTTTCTGTACACGAGGTATCTTTACTTGTTTAATTTGCAAATGCAATCAAAGCCGAAGTAGGCAAGATTCAACGAAAAATACATACTTGGCCCACAGATTGAATCACTGATTGGCCGAAAAAAAAGACGATCAGAACAGTGAACGTCTCACTGAATGTCATTGATTTTCTTGATAAAAAGACCCGGAGCCTAAGGGACTAGCCTTTGCATTCTCTTGCCTTAAGCTGCATCTTTTTCAATGTATTACAGAAAATTTTGAGGGCACTTAATTTGCTCAGCGATGGTCCAGTGTCATACTAGTCATGAAAGTTTACATTATGAAAAGAAGACGTTTGTCACTGTACCTTATCGATAAAAGCTCTGAGAAACACCCTGTATATGGTATTTGGCTGGAGAGGTTTGTTGAGAAAGTCCTCCCCATCATTACTTCTCCTTTTTCTCGTTTTACTGTTTGAATGTGCACCATCTCCGACTGTAAATTTTCGGAAGGCATCAGAGTCGTGTCCTCTAAACTGGAAAGTGACATACGCTGCAGGAACCGAAGATTTGTGGGCCTCCTCATATGTCATCAAATCCTTTGGCGTAAAACTATCAGGCGAGTTCACCACACCAGTATAGTCCAAGCTGTATCTAATAACGATGACTTGAAAGAACCTGTGAAACAGTATTTTCGTTTATATAGCAAAAAACAGCCTAAAAAAATGGCAAAGCCTTCACTTAAAACAAGTAACATAAAGCTCATACTTTGCATTTCCTGGAAAGCGTGGTAATGTTATTTTTGCTGTTATGCCTTCTCCACTTGAGGTCTGGGAGAAGGTTGGTGAAGAGGGTGTTTCTTCTGACCACAGTTTGGATAATTTCAAACCTGTACAAGAAAAAGTAAGGACCGAACTCACACCCACTGATAAAAAAATGAAAACTCAATGGCTAACTAAGCTTGCTCTATGCAGGCAGTGAAAATGGTGGACACTATGCCGTGATTGGTAGGGTTTAGGTTAGGGACGAGTTACGGGAGGCAAACAAGTATAACACGATGATACCGATGATAAATCTGTATAAAGCCGATGCAGCTGACCATCAGTTTCACCTTCCAACCTACCTTTTGTTTGAATATATCAACAAAGTTGAAATGGTAAATTGGCCACCATTACGTACGATTATAGTAACGGAGGCCAATTTACCATTTCAACTTTGTTGATATATTCAAATTATTTCGTTACCCCCACCGACGCAGTCCCAAGCAGTTTCTCTGGAAACTATCAGCCTTTACCTTTTGTTTGAACAACTATAGCTTTGCTAAAGGGTCCAGGCCCCGCCACTGTGTAACCTCTTACGGACACGTCATACTTTGCACACATCCAGAGGCCAGTCAGTAACACACTTGATTTGGTTGTATTCATTGCATGAAACGTGGAGTCAACCTTTAAACAGCTCTCCTTTAATTCGAGATGGACTTCGTAAAGTTCAATGAAGCCATTTGCCGTCTCTTTAGGTAATGCAATCCAAGTGATTTTGTTTGTCGTATAGTTAACTTCACGAGAAGAAACATTTTCTGGTCCACGACTTGGTCCTATTTAAAGAAAATATAACATAACAATTGGACATTTAGTCATTGGTGAGTATAAAACGCTCCATCATAGAATGCTAACTAAACATTGGATTTTCTAACAAATGAGCAAATTGTCTTTTAAGGAAAGATGATATTGATTAGTTCCCCACAAAGGAAGCTAACAATTTATACTAGAAGATATTAGGACATGGACGTGTCTAATTTAAAAGAACCAACAAAATAGACTATACATACCTGTGTGTATCTTTGTAGGCAATGGGTAGAAAACACCCATGATTTTGAAATGATGAAAAACATTATTGAAATGCAAAGACGAACGTCAAACTAAAGGTATAATTACGTACTATCTTCGTCAGAACTGACAAAAATAGGATCACTGGCTGGTCCGTTTCCTACCACCGTGGATGCAAACACCGTGATGCTGTAGTTGACGAACTTTTTAAGACCCATCAGAGTCACCTGACGTCCTGGAAAATCAACTGTTGTACTGTCACTGGGATTCTCTGTTAGTGAGTGATAAGTAATGTTGTAACTCGTGATAATACCATTCCGATAAGCTGATGGCACTTTACCCCACTCGACTAAGATGCTGGTTGAGCTGGTGTTACGCCCTTTCACATTCGCAGGAGGAGCAGAGGGTTCTGAAGAGAACAATAAGAGCAAACTGTATAGTAAGCCTTGTTTATGCAGGGAGTATTTGAATATGCAAATAACTCTTAACAGGACATTTGCTTTACTATAAGGTACTTAAAACTCGAGTGGAAAAATTGCACGCCTGAATAGGAAAAAAGAACAAAAAAAAAATGTTCGATTGTAAACGTCTCTAAATATATACTTAAGGATGCTCTATTTACATCACGCCAAAAGGAAAATTACTTACTATCCTCGTCAGTAATGACAATTATAGGATAACTAGCTGGTCCAGGTCCTATCTTCGTAGAAGCAGACACAGTGATGTTGTATTTAACAAACTCTTTTAGACCAATCAGAGTCAATTGACGTCCTGGAAAATCCACTGTTGTACTGTTCCTGTGATTCTCTGTCAGTGAGTGATAAGTTATGTTGTAACTCGTGATGATACCATTCTGATCAAAAGCTGGAACTTCATCCCACTCTACTAAGATGCTGGTTGAGCTAATGTTATTTCCTCTCACATTCGAAGGGGGAGCGGTAGGCTCTGAAAGAAAAGTTCACGAAATATTTCTTAAGATATCTCAAAAGTTATTAGAAACTGCAACAAATGGGTTGCAGTGAAGGAAACGCCGAAGTGCTCCGATAGGAGTTTATGCCTGACTATTTAAAATTTGTTAAGTTGTTAATTCGTAATGATTACGTGAGGTAGGCCACAGTGTGTCGTGGTCCTGAAATATTATGTGCATAGCGATATTCCACTAAACAACTACTGTACTGTACACTGAGAAAACGTAGAGGTTTAGGTGGAACTACTCAAAGGGGGACTCGAGAATTTTATTTTTGACTACGTAATGAGAGCATCACCTACAGCTGGGAAATACTAATATTAACAGTGTAGATTTTATTTTTTCATCAGAGTATCATTAGGGAGTCAAAAACAGCTACACAGTTGTGACTTCTACGAGTTTATGATGTTGTCTTACATTTTCCCCAGAGCAACGCAATAGAGGAAACATTAGTTAAACTTACTGTCCTGCAGTGTTTGCACAAGCTGGGCAACACTTGGTGGTCCATCCCCGTACAAAGTGAATGCTAACACACCTATGCTGTAGTTTGTAAACTCGTTCAAATTGTTTAAAGTCTTTTTCGCTCCTTCATCCTGTTGCTTAATGCTGATATTGAAGAATTTGGTAACGATGTCACCATTTGGTAAGGCTTGATAACTCAGTTTATATCCTTGGATGATTCCATTACGATCAGCAGGAGGGACTGGGTCCCAGGTTATTCTGATACTTTTTGATGTTAACCCACTTAGTGTGACTTGTTGTGGTGGCCCACTCGGCTCTGAAACCAAGAGAAATTGTTGCAGGCGTCTACTTTTTAAGAACAGCAAAGTGAGAAGAGAACGGCTGGTAATCTTTTAAAATTTCACATTACATCTGTATCAATATAATGGAATGGCTATGCATCAAATGTTATTGTCATTGCAACCGTGAAAGAAAAATGTCAGTTAAAGAAACAGAAGGCTGCGAGCAGTCCACCTGTTGTACAGCTTATGTAGATTGTCTGAGATTGTAAAAAATTAATAGTCATCGTGAAAAAATAACTAAATGGACTGATAAAAAAATGACAATGATAATAATAACATAAGGTAACACTCACTTTGCTGATCGGTAGTCTTCTCCACCAAAGCACTTAAATTACTAACACCATTACCGTTAAACACCTGCATGGAAAACTCGTATGTAGTGTGTTCACTCAGTGGTCCCACCAAAAGTGATGTGGTTTCGGCTCCATCAACAGTTTTATTAATCCAAGGAAGAGTTCTTTTCACCCGGTACAAAACATAATAGCCAAAAATTGCACCTCTAGCTTTTTCCTTCCTCAGCACCTTGGTTGTAAAATTAACAGAACTTTAAGTTGATGACTACAACTAGTTTTTTCGTGTTACGTGTAAATATACTACAGGAAATTTACTTTCATAACCACTGCATGTACTTAAAATCTTTAACTTTTATTTTAAATCATAGTTGTATCAACAAACACATTCCGGGTTTCTTTAACTGGTCTACAGTAGATCTCAGATGACACAAAAATGTGATGAGAACAAAAACGTGACACGCAAGCTACAGGCGAGTATCGATGATGTTCTTCCTAGTTCCACTGCATCTTTTGTGATCTATAACTTTGACTGAGTTCGAATTCTAAGTTACTACTGAGCAAGTTTTTTCTGCTTGGATTTATGGCACACGCGGGCCATAATTTGAGATTGCGTGACTTACAGTTCGGACCGAGAAAAGGAGGTTAGTAAGATGTTTATTCAATTATGGTTTAAAAATAATTGGGGAAAATTTAAACTCAAAGGAACTTCTGAGTTTAGCGGACAGTACATATGCGTTATTGACTAAGCGTGATGTCAAGATGGCTGAATATTGGCCGAGTTCTTTCTTTTCCTTTTTTTACGTTTTTACGGACCGAGACGAAGTCGGACAACAAACGAAGAATTGTAAATTCAAAGTTTTTGTCTATCACATGCATTTTCGTCCACGTGCCGTCGTTTAAAGATTCCCCTTGTTTGTTTGTTTGACGCGCGTGAAACACTGGAACACAATTTTTTTTACAATGTGCATGTACTTTAAATGCAGCTTACAAAGCAATCAAAGAGAACATACAGAATTTAACAGAGCATGTTTAATGTTCTCCTTAAGAAAACAGTTATGTGAACTGGTAACTCAGGTTTGAAACTCTCTCCTTCTTAATAAAAAAACGTCAAGAGGGAATCAGTAAGAGTTATCAGTCTTCTTGGCATAGAAAAATTCGTATGAGATTACATATAATATCTGGTAATTACCTGCCAGGAAACATTTACAGCAGTTGAATTGAGAACAGTCACAACAAAAGACGGAGCCTCGCTTGGCACTGCAATCAAATTGTGTTTCCTTTAATATTCCAACGTGGAAAAAGCGTAACAATTGTAGCCCCAAAAAATGTTGTACAGGTGTTGAATTATTCTTAAGGAACTCGATCTTTTTGATCTTCTTTAGGAGAGTTACAGATAGACTGGAATTGGTGATTCAAAACTATGGCAGCAAGATTTGTTTTTCAAAACAGGCATAAAATTGTGTGATATTTCTATAAATCAGGTAACTTAATATAGTATCGCTAAGTATTTTAACGAATTGTGCCGCATATAAACAACTAGTACAAAACACGCTCAAAATTGTTATTTCAGTGCGGGCGAGTTTCGCGGCTATTCATTTACTGGGAGTGCGTGACAGAAGTATGCGAGGCGGAACGGAATTGACGCTGCTTTTCTTCGTTCAATTTTTCCAATACTGACTTGGATCACTATTCGCCAGCCATTCCGACTCTTCGTCGTTAGAAAAATAATCAAAATTGTCGGTTTTTTGATTTTGTAACTTCAATCCAATTCGTCGCTTGCGCGATGCGAGAAAACCTGTCTAACAGGCTCTCTGAGTACGAATACCGCGAGATATTTGTACCCTGTTTTTTTCTGTTTTTGTTCCGCGAGAATTACTGTAAATAGCAATGAATCAATCAAATCATAGTACAATACATGATGCAGAAAAACATGACTTGAATAATAGCCGACGTAAGCAAACAACAGCACATTACTTACCGTGAGTTACGAAAAAATACATAGAAACATGTCTAAATATAAATCTTGGTTATAGTCTACCCTTGTGGTAGAGTGCTCGATGCGCTCGCAGAGCGCGGTATATCTGAAGATTGAACCAATCAATGCGACATAAATTTTTCTGTGACTCTGAGATTCACGCATACGTGATCATCAGACAGATATTTAAAACTGCAAAACAAACAAACAAACAAACAAACAAGGAAAATAATACAAAACAAGTGTAAGAAAAAATATAAGAGCTCAACGCTTAACTTAATCAACTTATCAGTTCTTGAGATACCGCTGTTAGGAGAGCCTCCAAGATACATGTACAAATTAAAATATCTCAAATGAAAAGGAAATCAAAATAAAGAAAAAGAGCACCTTCTTCATGGGTGGTAACTCCTACAACGAAGCTGTAGTTACTAGAGCCAATTCTGTTCCTGGCAAAAGCCCTGAGGTAATATGTTGTCCAAGGAAACAGCTCTTTTATAGAAACTCTTGTGGCGTAAATCACACAAGCATTGACTAAGAGTGTTCCTTGACATATAGCATCTCTAAAACGTCGCCCATCTTGACGGATTTCCACTGTGTAGTTCTGGATGGCACTGTTTCCATTAAAACCAGCTGTCCAGGAGATATTAATTAACCGTGATCCCCCTGAGATGACTTTGAAATCCTTAGGTGGGTCAGGTACATCTGCGGGAAAAACAAAAGCAAGACAAAAAAGAGCAAGAAATTCTTAATGATTGCTACCTGTTTTCAAACACGCCTTTGAGAATGCTGGTAAAGCATATCAAACTGTTTCCCCACTGCAATGGACATTTGTTTTTGTCGGTTCCAGCCTGGCGCGGCCGCTAATCCAGATGCCCTCCTCAGCAAATTTTCAAAATGGCGGACAAACCAAAGAGAGAGATAAGAGAACCAAAGCGATTCTGCAACGAATACTCAGCATACACCCCTGTTAAAAAGGTCATTTCACAGAGAAAAGATACAAAATTGTATGATGTTGAAGTCACGGAGGTTGACAAAGCCAACAAGAGACTGAAAATTCACTACATTGGCTACAGTACACGCTTCGATGAGTGGAGACCCTTCGGGGACGGTGAAGCATCTGAATATTTTCCTTCGAAATTGTATAGATTAGTAGGCTGCAACAAAAATTTATTGGACGACGTTTAGGGTAAAAACAGCAATCTAACCTGAAAAAATGTATTTATTCCGACTCTTTCGGAAAATAACTTTACAAATCTTACTTGTTTATCTCGTAAGTAAACGATGGT